ATCAGCTTGTGTTTGGTCAAACTAAAAGCTCTTACTGTTTTTGATTTAATCGGTAAGCATTCATTTACCAGGCTTTGCCCTGACAGATGTTTTAAAAGGGTGTTAGTGGATTAAATGTTATATTCATTGCTTACAGAGAAGCAATGGTAAGTATAAATTGAAAAAAATGAATTGAAACTTTTTACTTCCCTTGAGTCAAATGAGGCTCTCAGTTTGGTAGATTTGTTCAGCTCTCAAAGGACTGCTGTGTTTTTGAGCTTGGAGGAAAAAATCACTAAAATGGACACTGTAAATAGAGAAAATTGCATTAGAAACAAAAGATGACACGGAAGAGAGGAGGCTATGACAGAGAGATTGAAGAACTGATGGGAGAGATTTCAAGTTTTCAAAGGACATTCTCACTGTGTTTGGGCCTGATGCTTAAGAAAATCCACTGGACTATCTATTCAACTGCTGGGTTACACTGTGATCTTGGAACCATCAACAGTGTTTCCTTCCCACATATCCTGTGAAAGAGAGGGGAAAAGTGCAGAGTGGAATCCTTTTGGAATATCGAGCTATTTGGGATTCAACAGTCCAGCCAGTGTTTTGGGAAGCAGTTCTGAAGTGCATTTGTTCACATTTCATTCACATTTGATTTTTTTTTTTTTTTCGGTATTTGATTGTCTTTGAATGTCTAAATATTGTTGATGTTATTGAAAGCAGACCTAATCTAATTCTTCACTTTTCTATAAAATTGTCTAATCAAAATTTTTTTTATATATATATATAAGTAAAACTTGGATCCTCTTTTGTGGATATTTCTTATGTTTTTGCCAGCAAAAGAGACATTTTTGTGTAATTTATTGGTTATTTTTAGCATTAATAGCATTTTTTGTCTTTCTTAACAAATGTTACATTCAAATGAATGTTTGAAGGTGCTGAGAGAGATATTTTGAGTTTTAAAGTAGCGTTTGGCCTGATTTGACTTGAGTTTTCATGGAAACTGTGTCGTCTTTGGAGGAATCGTGAGCTTAACCACAGGATTCTGTTCTGCTTTTGGACTGTTGGCCACAGCAGCTGCCACAATGAAACTCACATGTTCGAGTCCATTGTTTATAATTAACCCTGCGGCGCTAAAACTGCTTGACCAGTGACATGCTCTCTGTCTGACTACTGGGACGTGGGGCCGATCACAGCGGCTGCTATGGAAAATCAGTTGCCACTGTTGACAACATGCCTGCACTAACACATGATAGGCCAGTCCAAACATCCTCGTTCTGCCAGCAGTTTCCGTCTGTCGGTATGCTATTGAAATGTGTTGATCAACTGTGAATGCTTATTTTATATTGAGAAATCATTTTTACTATATATATTTTTTCTTTCTCTACACAGATGCGGCAGGAAATTATGATGTTGTGAATAATGTTGTCATACCGACCCCAGGACCACCAGATCCTAGAGCCCAGAATTCTTTGCGGCAGAGTTGGGAAATGAACTACCAGGAAGCAGCAATATATCTGCAGGTCATCTTTTGAACTTCCAATGAAGCACCTAAATAGATGATCATAAACACACACTCAGGGCTGATAATAATTCTTCCTTTCCCATTTGTCTGTGTTTGTCCTCAGGAGGGAGAGAATAATGACAAGTTTTTTCACTCATCCACGAAGTGCCCACGCGCTCAGCGCCTACCTGTTTGCTCACAATCACCTTTTCTATGTGATGGAGCTGCTGACTGCGCTGTTACTCATGCTACTGTCCCTCTCAGAGGCCCCTGCCGGTCCCCTTCCTGCGCTTGGACGTCTATGTATGTGACTTCTACTTGCACTGTGTGCATACACAACCATTGCACACTGAATCCGTAATTCACGTTTGAAATTTTTCACACGTTAAAAAATAAATACGACCTCATGTCATTGTCAAT